CCCCCCCCCCGCAAGCAAAGGGATTTGAATCCCCAAATATGTAGAAACCCCAAGTTGGGATTCTGTGTAAAGACCTAGGTCACATGCGTAGAAGGCCATTGGTTGCCCATCAGCTTTTGATCTACCCTCCAGTCCCCACCCCCAAAACCACAGCAAGCTGTCTTCAAAATTACACTGTCAGCACTACAATGCACAAATCCTTTGATTGAGGGCTTGTGAAACTAAGTGGTAAGAATTGTGGCCTACTGCCAGTGTCTGCACATAGCTGGGATGGTAAGCAGTCAGGCAGGTTGGTGGGGAGCAGCATGGAGAAATGGAGAATGGTTGAGTGAACATCTTCTCCCTGTGACTGCCAGGGAGCGGGGAACCTTGCTGAGAGAATATATCATGCCTGGATCTATATTCCAGTACATTCCCCTTTCCTCCTCACCCTCATCCTTCCTCTTTCCTTCTAATCACAAGAGACAGCCACACAGGGCCTCAGTGCCTCTGACAGAGCTCTCAGTTGCAGAGGGGGCAGAGATACCCTGCATGGTGCTCCATCCTGGGGGTCTGGAAACCCTGGCAGGCTGCATCTCTCTGAGACCTACTTTGCCCAGTGGATACACTCTCAAACTGGTCTCTCTATTCTTAGGGGTGAAGGAAGGGACCTTGTGGAAACGGGGCCGGGATAATTGTCAGTTTCTACCCCGCAAGTTCATCTTGTCTGAGAAAGAAGGGTGTCTCAAGTACTTCACCAAACAAGATGTGAGTATGGCCTGCTTGGAAGGCTGACCCTGCTCCTTTCCCTGTACATAGTGCTTGCTGGTGTCATGGTCCTGTTCTCCACACACCGTGTCCTGAAGCCTCCTTTCTCACTGCAGTCTCAGTGCATCCTGACTTTAGGTGTCAGGTTCATATTTCCATTCCATCTATTTCAATGCTGGCTCATATTTCCATTCTCCCTATCCCAGGTGGAATTCTTCTCTCCTTTCTTTTTCATCCATGTCTCTTTGTACCCTGTCAGACCAGTTTTATTTCCCTTTTTCCAGGCAAAGGAGCCCAAAATAAATATTAAGATTGATGTGATCAATGCCACATTCCAGCCAGCGAAGGTTGGGAATCCCAATGGCCTCCAGATCACCTACCTCAAGGACAACAAGACCCGTAATATATTTGTCTACCATGAAAATGGAAAGGTACAAGGGCCCATTCTAGCATTAGGCAGCATTCCCAGGTGCTATATGGAATGGAGTGTGAAAAGTTAGCAAAGTCAGTGTATTAAATTTTGTAAAGACCTGTAAGTGGGGACAGCTGCTGTAGGAAATGGGATGGGATTTCTGGGTGTGGAAGAAGTTGCTGTAGGTATAGAGTGGAAGGGGAGTCATGGTAAGGAATGGTGGAGAAGTTGCATTAAGGGGCAGGCTGGGGATACCAGCTGTTGATTGTGTTGTGGAATTTGTGAGCCACTGTAGGGATTAGGAGAAACTTCTGAAGGCAGCCGGGAGGACTATTATAAGAACATAGCCCTTGGGAGAAGCATAAAGGTATTCCCACAGAGCTGTCTGTAAAGAGGGGTTTGGTTGTGCTGAAGCTTTCTCTCCTCTGCTGTCATGTTCCTCAGGAAATAGTGGACTGGTTCAATGCCATTCGCTCAGTGCAGTTTCATTATCTGAAGGTGGCTTTTCCCATGGCCAGTGATAATGAGGTAAGAAACAACTTGAGAAGAGTAACCGGCCTTCCTGCTGGTATTGAGAACCACCTGTTCTACAGTAGACTACTCCAAGTAAAGAGACAGAAGTTACAGTATGTACTGACTGTGCCTACACATCCTAATGATGACATGGTTAGAAAGATCTGAGATAAGCAGAGAAAAACTGTCCTCCAGCCTTTTCCACAGCTCCAGAGCTGGGCCTGTCCTTTATAGGGCAGGTCAAGTGACCTTAGCAGGTGGAACATCAAATGGGTTTTAGTTCACCAACTGCGAGAGGGACAAGAGGCAGGGTGGAGAGGAGAAAGAAAGCAAAGCAGTCAGAAGGTTAGAGATAGGCTGAGAGGGAAGGAGGGAATGACAAGTGCTGGCTACATTGAAAGGAATGCAGGGATGTGTCATTCTTTTATGCAGATCAAAAGCCGACTGATGCGGAATTTCCTGAAGGAGGGATACATGGAGAAGACTGGTCCTAAGGTAAGGTGATACAGCCCCAGGAGTCTGTTTGAAGAGCAGACATCAGAGAAATACCAGGGCTCCTCATCTGGCCTTTTTCATTTCAGTGCTCTCCTGTTTATCTGTGTTTTCCCAGACTTCTCAAAACCCCATGGCAAGGCCTCTCCATACACCAGCCAAGGCAGAGCTGGGGGCTCATCAGGGAGCCATGATGTGTGGAGTGAAGAGATTTGGAATTAAATGAACATGGCAATTGAATTTCTTCTTCACTTCAGAAGAGCAGGGCTCTCCAGATGAGCTAGAGTGCCTATGTGGCAGGATATATCCCTAGATGAACTCATAGATAGAATTTCCTTGGCTTCTGATCTCCAGGGGCCTTTCAAGGGAAGCATTCAGGGAGAAACTCAGGATTGAAAAAAAATCATAGATACCGAATCTCCCTGTCAACTCATCACAAGCTGGGAGGTTTCTCCAGGACTGAGAATGTGAGCCCATTTTGGTAGGCTTGTACGTCTAGGTCAGGGGTGTCAAAGACATGGCTTGCTACACCAGTTTGTCCGGCCCCTGGTGCTGGCTCTGAGCTGACCCACATGCTGCTGGGCCAGCCCTGTTTGCCAGGCTCAGGATGCAGCCTCCAGAATCTGCACTACATGTGGCACCTGTTCCAGGACCTGTCCTATACCAGCCAGTCCAGGTTCTGGGCTGCACACACTGCCTCTCCTCCCCTGCCCCTGCCTGGTCTGGAACTGCACCATGGGTGGTGTGGATCCTGGAATAACCAGAACAGGCACCACATGCAATGCAGATCCCAGACCAGCTGAAGCAGATTAGTGCGGCAGAGTCCTGGGCTAATGTTGGGGGTAATGTGTGTGCCCCATGTGCTGGATCTGGCATGGGGGGTAGGGAGGGAGCAGGGGAATTCTTGGGCCAAGTCTGGCCTGTGGCCTGGCCTGGCACTGCTTATCTGGCCTACCCATGGTCTAGATGAAGCCTAAAATTAATTTGGGGTATTCATTCCACACTTTCTCCAGCAGAGGGCACTTGCCTTCTATAAATATCCCCCCACCTCTTTACCTCCACAGCAGAAAGAGGCCTTTAAGAAGCGCTGGTTCACACTGGATCACCGAAGACTCATGTACTTCAAAGATCCATTGGTGAGTTATAAAAAGGAGTAACTTCACCTCCACAGATGGTGCTGTAGCCTGGGACAAGGTACAGTTGGAGTGTCCATTTCCACAGCTTTGCTCTGGAGGGAGGTAGATCTGTCATCTGAACCCCACCTTCCAAAGCATTGACTTCCACATCTACTTCTGTTGGCCTCTGGTTCCAGAGATCACTTTTAGTAGCTTCATCTGAGCTTAATCTCCAAGGTGTTCTGGGCTACCAGGTCCCTTTCTCCCCTTCATTGACACTCTCTACACCTTGTCCACCTACCTGCTATGATCATGGGAGTCATAGTCCCTATCTACTAAAGCGTAGAACCATAGCAAACTCTCCTAGCCCAGGTGTTGGTGGGATCAGATCTGCTTCAGTGCTGCAAGTGCCCCCAAATGACAGATCTTTCTTTTCCTGCTGCTGTGTAGGATGCGTTTGCTAAAGGTGAGGTGTTTGTGGGCAGTGGGGAGAATGGCTATAGCGTCAAGCCAGGGCTGCCAGCAAGTATGCAAGGCAACTTCTCTTGGCCATATGGCCTCACCATTGTCACCCCTGATCGGGACTACCTCTTCACCTGTGAGACAGAGAGCGAGCAGCAGGAATGGATTGCGGCCTTCAGGCAGGTCATTGAATTGCCCATGACACCCCAGGAATATGCAAGTAAGTGCCAGACTGGTGTTCTCTTCCCCCTTCTCCTGCACCTGCCTGTCAGACTTTTCACAGAGAAAACTAGATCCTGCTCATCTCTCTCTTTTGATACACCCTTTATTTCCCTTTCCTACAGTTGAAGCCTACTTCAAGGTCAGATCCTAGGGACCCTCATGAGCACCTGACTGTGACTCTCCTCTGCCTGATCTCTTGGGGAAGAGGACAGGGGAAAGAGAAGAGAAGCTCTGCACATGAGAAGATAGATGCCTCCGATACCTCACAGTTTACAGAAGTTTTACTTATATAGATGAACCAATTTCCCTCTGCAGGGGAGGTCTAATTAGGCTGCATTCTTTTAAATGGACAACTGTGTGGGATGGAGCATTCAAAACAGCCAGACACTGAGACCTATTGTTCCTAGGGAATATTGTGACCCAGTTGGACACTGTATGGCGTCAGCCAGTCAGGTTGAAGTTTTGCTCACTAGCAGTGGCGAAGATGGCTGTTGTCATAAATGTCCATCATCACTCCCACAGGGAAGGGAATATCACCAAGTAAATGGAGAGTGTCCAGTATTCAACTCAGTGGACACAATGCTGGGAGCAGCATAGTTCTAGAGGGAACATAAATTAGTCTGAAAGTGATTATAATGTCACAAGGAAACAGCGTCTCTGCTTATGGAGAATTGATCTTTTTGTCTGGAATTATAAAGCTATTTCATATTTTATAACCATAAACCAAGGAGGGACACTTAAAGAATTAGTTTTACAGCCAAGGTTGGCATCTGTTTATTTCTATGAATCAAGCTAGCTGCACACAATCAATCAGTCTCAATAGCTGTAACTTTATCAAGTCATATATTTATGGTAGACCTTTCTCCAAAATGTATTGAGAAGATTCAAGATCTGCTAATACACGCACACACACACATGTATATATAAAAAAGGGAAATCATTGGTATCAGTCTAGGGAAGAAACTGGCACTACTGATGCTACGACAGAGGCTGTCTTCTTTCTAAGCTGTGTAATTTAAACTTGCTGAACAAGAATAATGTACAAAATAAGCATATTTGATCATATCCTCCCACTGATGGCTGGTCCCAACAGCTATAACAGCTTGCCACCTACAGTCACAGAACATTTCTTTCAGTAACGGGTTCATGTTTTGGGTGCTAGAACCTTGGCTGATGACTGATGTCTGATGTGCCTGTGGTTTGCAGTGCAAGCAACATGCGAATGCATATTTAGTCTATTAACAGGAACTATAAGGAGTTTATGATGCAACTGGTAATAAGCTCATAAAGAAATACATTAAAAAATCTCATTATGGTTTATCGTTTGTTAAGCGAACTCCTGCTCTCTTAAATTTTAAAACAAAAGACTGAGAGACGGTAACATATAATCAAAATAAATAGGAAAAAAGCGTATTCATTACATTTTGTTTTGAGTATGGTTTGTGACTGTTTCCATCAGTGTCAAATTATATCCTTCCATGGATGCATAAAACAGAGGTGGGCAAAATCTGGCCCACCAAGGGATTTTATCTGGCCCAGAGCGAGTCCACCAACCCTGCCCGGCCCAAGCATGACAGGTAGCCTGGGCCGGGGTATGTGCAGCCAGTCCCGCTGCCCCCGGGCACACAGTGTGGCAGGGGCAGCACATTGACTGGATTAGCTTCCCAGCAGCCCCTGCAATGGTGGCTTCTTCCAGCTGCCACTGCCAGGCACACAGCCTTACTGCCTGGGCATCCTGGCCCGTCTGCCTTGCATCCACTGCTGGGGATGCTATGTGGAGCAGATGGGTGGGGTCTCCATGGAGACCAGCCCAGGACCCATACGGTCAGGGTGTTCTCATATGGATGCATAGGATGGGGCCGTGGGCAGGCAGGGAGTGGCATTCGGGAGTGGGGTAGATGGGCAGGGCTGGGGTTGGGATCAGGATTAGGATTGCAGGGTGGTGACAGTGTGGGGCTGGGATCCAGGGCAGAGCCATGAGTCACTGCCCACATGTCCCTGCAATGGGTGCTGGTTCTGTGGGCAGCGGTGCACGGGGAGCAGTTTGTGGCTCTGCTCCGGGCCTTGGCCCCATGCTGTCACTGCCCTGTGATCTTGATCCCAGCCCTAGTCCTGGCCACCTGTCTGGCTCCTGGATGCTGCTCCCTGCCTGCCTGTGGCCCCATCCCATCCACCAGGCTGAGCACACCTTGTTGCTATGGGTCCTGAGCTGGTCTCCATGGAGACCCTGAGATCACCAAGTGGTGACAGCACAGGGCCAGGCCCTGGGGAAGAGCCACTTAGGGAGTTTTGGTGAACTGTTGCAGGGAGTGGGGAGGGAGGGAGTACTGGTTCAGCCCATCAATACTCCCTAAGTGGCCCTCCAAATAATTGCCCGCTCCTAGGATAAAGTCACGTCTTCTTTTCCCCTTTGCCCCTCTCAGGATCCCTTTAGGCCTGTGGGTTGGGAGCACCATGACCTATCATCTGCATGGATCTTTGGATTGAAAGCTGTGGGTGACACTCCACTACTCAGGCACAATGGGGGACTGAGTTTGTCTGGGGAGGCCACAGAGCCTTTACGAGGGCTGGAGCCAGTCTGTGAAATGACTTGACCTAAGAGCCACTGCAACCCTCAGCACCTCCAGCTCCTGGGCATGGCGCCCATCCTATAACTTGCTTTCTCTGTTGGTAAGTGCAGAGCAGTGCCTTCAACAATAAAAGAAAAAATAAGCCCTACCAAAACGCTGGTCCACATGCAGCTCTACCCCTTGGGTGAGGATGACCTGTACAGGGCAGGAAATAGTTACATCCCTTTGGAAGATGTCCAGGTAACTAGGGTAACAAGAGTAACATACAAAAACCTATGTAGAATGCTTTCCTCTCCTGCTCTTGTATACCTTTATTCCTGTGGTAGTATCAGTATCAGAAGAGAGATGATTAAGGGTTATTTAGCTTCACAGCAGCCAAGCTATATGTATATTATTGATGGAAAAGAGTGCATCATGATGGTATGGATCTGGGTTTTCCGTTTGCCAAAGAAAAACACAGATTTTCCTTTTTAAGGAGAAAAACATGGATTGTCTCCTGTAAAGGAGAATAAAGTGGGAAAAGGTGGGTTTCTGCTTGAAGGCTGGCAGTTTCATCCTGCAAGGGGCTGCTTGGGGCTGGGGGGAGCAGGAGGAGGGTGATTGGAGGCAGTGGGCTCCACGTGCGTGTGCACACTCATGTGCATATGGCTGCCAGGCAGCATGGAGAGCAGCGTGTGCAGCTCCCTCCAGGTAAATCTATGTGGGGGGGGAGCAGATTGAGGCCCCCATAGTAAGGGAGGGAGTAGGGCAGGGTTGGGGCTGGAGGGTGCATGAGGCTAGGGGCAGGGTGGGAATGCGTGACTGCAGGGCCCAGCCAGGGAGCGGGAGGGAGCCATGGGCATCTCGTGGTGGGGGTGGCTGGTTTCCTGCTGCTATGCACACTCCTGGGAAGGGAGGTATGGG